AGGAATGCCTCGAAGTGCTCTTTCCATGTAGTTTGGATCGATTCATTGTCTCTGAGGAGTGTTGAACCATCCTGTGTTCACAGGAAAGTAGGGTCATGGGAAGTTGGACTGCAAATGGCTTTCACTGCCTGGACAAAAAACTATGCATGTTAGTACACAGCTGAATCTCCTTCACTTTATCTTGCCACCACTGGTTTTTGATTTCCCAGATCCTTCTTTCAGCTTTGGCTTTGAGGAGCTGATACATCTCCTTCTTCTGCTGAGATGAGGTGCCATTTTACTTAGAAGAATGAGCCCTTCTCTTTTGATCTTGGCATTGTTTTCATTGTTCTAGTCTTGGTGTAGCCAATGAGTTCAGTGCAGGCCATAGGGACAGTGGTTTAAAATGTTGCCTTCATTTGTGGGCATGACAGAGAGCTTTTCATGGAGACACTGCTAGTGATCCTTAAATAAATTTGTGTCTTGAAAAGACATTTTAATTGGCATTATCATTGCTTTTGGTGTTTTGGAGCAAGCTGGATGTTCATAATGGATCTGAGAAGCATTAGTCAGTATGTAGCCAAGGATGGAGTAAATTGTTCTTTGACATCATCGTCACCACCCAGCATTGGGTAGATATTGTATGCATTGATGATGGTAGTGTACCTGTGTACCAGTTGTTGCTGAGCTTAAGACATGACATTTATTAATGTCCATAGGGAGCTCCATAAGTTTACCAAGACAATTCTTGATGGTGAAACCAATGCCATGAATGGATCTGTTCTGGACTGATTTCCCCTTCCAGAAGAAGGTGTAGTCTCTACCATCTTTGCTCAGCTGACCCTCATCCAGCTGTCTTGTCTTGCTCAGACCTGAAATGTTGGAGTTGTATTTTGCTAGTTCCTTGGCAGTTCTTCTTTCTAGTCATTCATTGTCATGGTTATCCATCAGCTGCAGTGTGGAGCAGGAATCAAAGCAGGATGCTTCTATCCCAGGCAAAAAATCTGCTTCCCCACTTAATACACAGACCACAATTTTGGGGGGCTAAGGTATGTGTTGTATGATAGAAAATACAACATTTAATCAAAGGTTCATGTGAGATTATAGGTCACTTGAAATTGCTGTTGATAAGCACCCCTTGTTTCAGGGGCACCTGGCTAAACCCCTAGGGACAGAGGTAGGGCTGGAAGCCATGTCCAGCAGAGATCCTTTGAACTTTTACTGCATTTTCTACTTCAGGAACAGCTTTGTGTTCTGAAAAAAGTATTTTATCTAACCAAGGGCATACAGTAGGTTGTTTAGGCTGGGGGAGATTGCTTGTTGCGTAGTTGCTGATTGCTGGCCTCACTAGAAGGAATACTGTATCAACAAAGTTCCGGAGCTGGAAGGGGGGTTACTTGCTGGGCTTGCTATACATGTCATCACATCAGCAGGTTTAACCTGTTACGTAGCTATATAAGGCAGACGCCCACTGGGGTGGGGGTGCTTGCTTTGCGAACGATTGCCAAGCACCATTTTCTGCGCAGGAAATAAAGGTTAAGTTGGATCCTTCACCCCTGTGTGTTTATTGGCACAAGCGCACCGGGCACGAACTCTCTGTCCTTTGGGGACAACAACGTGGGGCCTAGCTGACTTCCTTGCCTGGTCCACCTCTTCGGCTCTGGCAACAACTGTGGACGGCGCGAGGGCCAGGCGCCACCGACCTTATTCGTCGGAGGTCTGACCGTCTCCTGGTTGCCTGACGGAGTCGGGGAGGGGCACAACGGCGCAACGCTCGAAGGACCAACTTAATCAGGTGGGGCGAGGGAGGTTTCAACGGACTGGTGAGTACTTCTTTCCATATTTTGGGC